TCATATCGTAAACTTTATATCACACTGAACCTCCAGTAATATCCTATCATTACTAATACATATGAGGTTAACTAAGACGTACGAAATATTGTATACATACAGTATTAGTATACTTGGATGCACGCTGTGAAGCTTTATTGACCTTAGGTAATTAAATTCTGTTTGCATTCGTTAGCAAGGTATTAACACTTTCCAGACTTTCAAATCTACCAATAACTTCAGAAAACGTCTCACAAAACTCAAAGTGAATCTTATTTGTCTTGAATTCCCGTTTTAATGCTACGTTTTCGAAAGATTGATAGTCTTTAGAGGATCTGTAGCATAATCAGATAAACCTCATTCGTTGTACAAAATTGCAAAAAATGTTTTGGAAAGGCATTCTACAAGAACAATCAATAACCGATACTTAATTTCAAAGATGAAAACGATAATAGTAGCAATGTATGTGTACAAACCAAATAAAGTATTGAAGCATATAATAAACGCTGGAAATATTAACTTAATCTGGCAAAAGCTTCACAAACACACAATAATGATATATTTATGATATTGTATAAGAGTTGTATTTCATTTGTAAAAGTGTAGCACGTGTGGGTTTCGTAACATCTGGTTGCTTCTTCACTTGGAAGTTTGAGGAAAACGGGCATGATCTATTAACTAATTCGCAAGAAAAACAGCATTCTATACTGCTGTTACGTTCTGGCGCTATGATTAACGATCCTCTGTTGAAGCTGACACAAACGTGTGGTGCCATAACACTCCGATCTTTATTTCTCGTTTTCACGGCCAACATTTTATTGTGCACGTCCATTTCTCTGCTGTACGAGTCATATGTTTGTTGTTAACTGACATATGCGTACGACCATACATCTGGTGTTTATGATAATGTGTCTCGTATGTACGACCATATATCTGGTGTTTATGATAATGTGTCTCGTATGTACGACCATATATCTGGTGTTTATGATAATGTGTCTTGTATGTACGACCACATATCAGTTGTTTATGATAATGTGTCTCGTATGTATGACCATATCTCCGATGTGTATGGCCACGTACCCGTTGTGTATGACCTTGGTATGGCCACTTATCTGCTTTGAATGGCTACGTGTCTACTGTGTATGGTCATGTGTCTGGTTTTTATGGCCACTTGTCTGGTCACGTGCCCGCTATGATGACCACGTATTCGCTGTGTATGACCGCGTGTTTGTGTGTATGGCTCGCGTCTGATGTGTATGGCAACATGTCTTCTCTGGTTAGAGGTATGTTATATTTCTACTGTTACTGTCCATATATCTGTGGTGCACAATTTAGTTCGAATATTGCTGAGTGCGGCGTAAAACTAAACTCAAACTGTAGTGCATGTCATAAATCTGTTGGGGAATCGCCAGAAATCTTTGGAATGCATTTCTGATTACACATCCGCTTCAAGAGAGAGCCACCGCAGCGGTTTGTCCATGATATATGATTGTTAATGTTACATATAATTCACTTCGCTTTATCACCAACGCCAAAAACTCCCTTGTCAATCTGATTTATTGCTCGTGTGCTGGATGGGGATTCGGAATCTCGTGAGGCCGTCATTTCATCATGTTAGCATGTATTGCTCTGGGCTCATGCACGGCAATTAATCAATAAGATTATACAGGGGCCATTACCCAGCTACCATCTCACTTTAAGTGTTAAACTACTGCATCAAATGTTATCAGGCAGGAACTTGACAACTAACAGTAATGAGGCAGTCAAATGTCTCTGTTACAAAGGAAAGATTGTACAGACAATAATCACAATGTGGCATATCCTTACGTCAAGAACCAACATAATGTCACACATAGAGTTAATATCATACCGCCTTTAATGCGTTAACTTTAGTTAAGACTTATCGATAGCACTGCTGACTTACAGTTAATTCCTTCTGTGGCGGAACATCTGTCACACTATTTGAAGTATTAGCAGAGGAATTCTTTGACAGAGTGATGTCACTGATGGCCTGAGTGAACATTTGTATGGAATTGAAGGTGGAAACTTTATGGGTCAATGTTACAATGTAGTCCTCAGCCTTGACAGTTAGTAATGGTTTGGTATGTTAGCAGCGCTGCGAAGTGAAATTTCAGTCATGAATATCAGTGATTCAGGAATGACGTATTGTATATGTTGTATATTTCCATTACCAAATATCCAGAAGTACTGTTTAAATGCTCTGATGCAATCACAGTAACAGTTGGTCTCTGGGTATTAGATAAATGCATACTGACAAGAGTTCAAGATAACTATCTGAGTGATATAAGACAGTTTACGCGCTTTTTATACCTATTTAACAGCTTACGCTTGAGTTTTGTGTTCCTAATGGCTTGGTGTATAGGACGTCTACCGCTGCGATGTCGTTTTAACAAATTTGTTTAAAGATGTTGCGCTCGACATTGAGTGGATGAAACTACAACAGGTCGGCCGGGATCCATCTACTGTGTCTAAGTGTGCTATCATTATGTAACGTGGTATCTGAGTGGGATAACACTTAAAACCAGTATTAGCAGGTACACACACACGCATGTGCTATCTATGAGTAACAATCTCTTACGCGTTTATAAAATCCATTTCACCTCACTGACGTACTTGTTTTCAAGTAATTTGCTATGAAACATGTTAGTGTGTTGGTATGATGGCTACGATTTTACCTAAGGGCATTTGATCTCGTCCGTGTAAAGATGGTCTGCCAAAATTGGTCCTCTGAGAAAATGTTCTTGTCATCGTCATCATCATTTACTGACTAAATATTAAATGAAAGACAAGACTTGTAGACAGGAGACAGATGACTCAAATCAACCAAAAGGCCTTACCTGTTTGGTGTAAGTGGAAATCAGAAACATTTCACGCTATCGAAACAGAAATGTTATCTAACCATCTCCATCAACGTTTCAACGTTTAAATGTATTTTTTCTTCCCTGTAGTATAACTTCTTAACAAACGACCATGGCAAATTAATGTTATAGAGCATAAGTTAGGCAGGACTGAAAAAAGCACACGGTATCTACCTTGTCATACTGAAAGTGTGATTGTCAATATGATGACATCCGTACGGTATATGCTCACTGTAATGGAAGTAGAAAACGGAAACACATTACGCTGTCTTGTTTCAGCTAATGGACGAACGCTGCGCTTGTGATTTTCCATCGATACTTAGCCGTAATGAAGCATGTTTCCAAATAGTACGCATTTACATACTTCTAGTTTTCGTCTTAATTCACGTATGAGTTTTTATTCAATTTCAATGAAACAGAAAAAATGTTGCCATCTTAGCGGAAGTTCTAAATGCTTCAGACACACATTGATCAATCATTTTCTTGTCTAAATTAGAACAACAAAGCAATTCTTTAGCTCATTGTATGTTATCAATACATTTATGTTTTCTTAGGGAGATTCTATTTTCGAGAAGACGTATTTATCAACTAGTCTTCAGACATGTATATTAGACATTAAGTTACATGTTTAGTTTGAGGCAATGTATAGTATTTTTCCAATCGATGATGTATCTGTTTCGGGCACGTCTTTTTTAACATGACAACATCCCTGTAACACACTAAACCAATTCATTAACTGGACGATACGGTACTATGTCTGCTAGTAAATGGTACATTAATATCCGATTAGACGTGCCCACCACTGGCATCGTATCTGACTTGCTGGTTATTTTCTTGTGTTCTCTCAGCGACAGAGGTGTCTTCTGAATTCCGCTCCTACATGTTTCGGCGTCCGACTCTGAACTGTCATAAAGGAGACGTTTCTGGAGTAACTTAGTGAGTTTGGTTTTGCGCCGCTTTCAGCAATATTCCAGCAATATCACGACGAGGGACACCAGAAATGGGCTTCACACATTCCACCCATGTGGGGAATCGAACCCGGGTTTTCAGCGTGACCAGCGAACGCTTTAACCACTAGGCTACCCCAACGCCCTCATTTATAGATCAAGCATGTTTTACCATAGTACACTTTTGCACACTATAATTATCGTCTCAAATCAACGTACATGTATAAGGTTTCTTATTCAATTTTACTGAAACAGAAAAATAATGTTGTCATCTTTGCGGAAGGTCAAAATGCTTCAGACATACAATGATCAATCATGTTCTTGTCCAAATTGGTTTGTTTAGCTCATTGTATGCCATTAACCTTCTCTGAGAGAGATCCTGTTTTTTGCTAAGACGTATTGATCAATTAGTCTCCAGACTTTAGATTGGAAATTTTGTAACATGTTCAGTTCTGGGCAAGCGTGTTATATTTTTTCCAATCCACGATGCGTCTGTATTGGACATGACTTCTGTAACATTCATATAAATATGACAACTTTCTGCAGCACTTCAGACCAATATATCTCACCAATTATTTGTGGGTTAGTAACTTGCTGCCAGATCAATTTACCGAGTTGTTTGCACCAGCACCATCGTTTCAGAAACTTCGCCTACCTGTCACTTGATTGCGTTCTCTTTGTGACTTGGGTATCGAGAACAACCCCACTTTTAATGAACAGCCACCAATACTTCCTAAAAGTTTATATCTGGCATCTTGACTTATCCGCTTATTCTAAACCTTGAAACAACAGAAAATTAATCAATATGCAAAGTGAGTAACATTGGCAAAATAAAAATAACAGTTAAAGAACCAACCCTTATCCCTTGAATCAGCTTGGCGTTTATATGAGAGACCACTTTGAAATGAGTGAGTTTCAAGTGACTTCAGTGTTGGTGTTCTTAGCCTCCCTATGAGAGTTGAAACTGATATGAATGAGTCTCTGACAATCAGCGATGACACCAGTTCACGGAAGGGTAAGCTTGTAATGCCGTATCGTGCAATGTGTGGCATACATGTAGGATTAGATGTATAAAGATTCATCATGAATTAGGTCCTCTCTGTTGGCGTTATTTGATTAACTGTTACAAACATTCACAAAAATTATATACATGAAACCGAAACTTAGGACTTTCCTACAAGCGATTAAACTAGTGAATGTCAGTAGTCAGTCAAAGGTTACTGAGTAACGGACATAAGTATATATTTTGCCCGGAAATCGAACCCATGACCAGAGATTTCTGGCATCCCCAAGAGACATCGAATTGAGACGCTTAATGACTTGGTCACCCGTTAATGAATTTTTGTTCATGCTGTCAACCTCAGATTTCCCTGACCCTTATTATTTTAGCTCATTGTATGTTATCAATACATTTTATATGTTTTCTTAGGGAGATTCTATTTTCGAGAAGACGTATTTATCAACTAGTCTTCAGACATGTATATTAGACATTAAAGTTACATGTTTAGTTTGAGGCAATGTATAGTATTTTCCAATCGATGATGTATCTGTTTCGGGCATGTCTTTTTAACATGACAGCATCCCTGTAACACACTAAACCAATTCATTAACTGGACGATACGGTACTATGTCTGCTAGTAAATGGTACATTAATATCCGATTAGACGTGCCCACCACTGGCATCGTATCTGACTTGCTGGTTATTTTCTTGTGTTCTCTCAGCGACAGAGGTGTCTTCTGAATTCCCGCTCCTACATGTTTCGGCGTCCGACTCTGAACTGTCATAAAGGAGACGTTTCTGGAGTAACTTAGTGAGTTTGGTTTTGCGCCGCTTTCAGCAATATTCCAGCAATATCACGACGAGGGACACCAGAAATGGGCTTCACACATTCCACCCATGTGGGGAATCGAACCCGGGTTTTCAGCTTGACGAGCGAACGCTTTAACCACTAGGCTACCCACCGCCCTCGTTTATAGATGAAATTCAAGCATGTTTTACCATAGTGCACTTTTGCACACTATAATTATCGTCTAAAATCAACGTACATGTATAAGGTTTCTTATTCAATTTTACTGAAACAGAAAAATAATGTTGTCATCTTTGCGGATGGTCAAAATGCTTCAGACATACAATGATCAATCATTTTCTTATCCAAATTGGTTTGTTTAGCTCATTTTATGCCATTAACCTTCTCTGAGAGAGATCCTGTTTTTGCTAAGACGTATTGATCAATTAGTCTCCAGACTTTAGATTGGAAATTTTGTAACATGTTCAGTTCTGGGCAAGCGTGTTATATTTTTCCAATCCACGATGCGTCTGTATTGGACATGACTTCTGTAACATTCATATAAATATGACAACTTTCTGGAGAAGTTCAGACCAATATATCTCACCAATTATTTGTGGGTTAGTAACTTGCTGCCAGATCAATTTACCGACTTGTTCGCACCAGCACCATCGTTTTAGAACCTCGCCTACCTGTCACTTGATTGCGTTCTCTTTGCGACTTGGGCATCGAGAACAACCCCACTTTTTCATGAACAGCCACCAATACTTCCTGAAAGTTTATATCTGGCATCTTGAATTATCCGATTATACTAAACCTTGAAACAACAGAGAATTAAACGATATGCAAAATGATAATAACAGTGAAAGAACCAACCCTTATCCCTTGAATCAGCTTGGCGTTTATATGAGACACCACTTTGAAATGAGTGAGTTTCAAGTGACTTCAGTGTTGGTGGTTCTTAGCCTCCCTATGAGAGTTGAAACTGATATGAATGAGTCTCTGACAATCAGCGATGACACCAGTTCACGGAAGGGTAAGCTTGTAATGCCGTATCGTGCAATGTGTGTCATACATGTAGGATTAGATGTATAAAGATTCATCATGAATTAGGTCCTCTCTGTTGGCGTTATTTGATTAACTGTTACAAACATTCACAAAAATTATATACATAAAACCGAAACTTAGGACTTTCCTACAAGCGATTAAACTAGTGAATGTCAGTAGTCAGTCAAAGGTTACTGAGTAACGGACATAAGTATATATTTTGCCCGGAAATCGAACCCATGACCAGAGATTTCTGGCATCCCCAAGAGACATCGAATTGAGACGCTTAATGACTTGGTCACCCGTTAATAATTTTTGTTCGTGCTGTCAACCTCACATTTCCCTGACCCTTATTATAGAATGGCAGGTGGCCAAAAGCTCGAATAATATCGATTGAGACGTATATCTGCCTTCACTCACTCAATCACTCAAATATGTAATACGACTGAAATTTACCACATCGTCTCAGGAAGGGCGTGTCCGTCACCAGCCAGCTGGTACTGCAAAGATAGACTGTTTAGGAACGCGGAGACAGACGTTCACTTTTGTAAGTGTTGAAAAAAGGCTGAATACCCATTAGCTAGTGGCTTTAGTTTACCTTTCTCATACATTTTGACTATCAGCGTGAAAGGGAGTAACAACTTCACGACATGTGCGCGCTGTTTCTCTGCCTAAGTATGTCTCTTGGGTTATGAAATAAGGATTTAACGCATACACGTAACATTACGTCATACTTAGAAACTCGGGTTAATGATTTGGGTACTGTTCTGTCAGTTTGTTCTGTTATTTTTACACACCGAGGACGTGTACGAGGACATGAAGAAACACATGCACCTGTACGGCACCAGCGACTACCCTAAAGATCACCCTATGCACAGACAAGTCAACAAAAAAGTGCTCGGCAAGATGAAGGACGAATGCGCGGGCACGCCGATCGCCGAGTACGTCGGCTTGAGACCCAAGATGTATTCCATCAAGAAAGCCGACGACGATGAAATCCGAAAGGCAAAAGGCGTGAAAAAACACGTTGTGAAAAAACACATCAAGCACGCCAGATTCAAGGAAGCCCTGTTCAAGAATAAAACGTTCAAACACCAAATGAACATGCTGAGAAGCGACGGACACAGGATATACGGACTGAGAATCAACAAGACCTCGCTGTCTCCCATGGACACGAAACGATGGATCGCCAACGACGGAGTCACCACTTACGCGTACGGGCACAAACGCGTATCGAATAATTGAACGCTTACGCACACATGCGTACACATATCATGGAGAAAATTTATTACAGCCCGCGAGGGTACTGGAAAGGCGCGGACGCCATCCCGAAACTTGCCAAAGCCGCTCGAGTCTCGGAAGAGAAAGCCAAAGCCTGGCTTAAAAAACAAGCCGACCTCCTGTTTCTCCCTCACGACAGGGTGAGGCGAAAAACCTACAAGTACGCCCTGACCGTCGTCGACGTCGCCAGTCGCTACAAGGAAGCCGAACCGTTCACAACGAAAGATTCGAACGAAGTCGCCAAAGCCTTTGAACGCATATACAAACGCAGTCGCTTGACATGGCCTACCGTATTGCAAGTCGATCCCGGACGCGAGTTCATGGGAGCCGTGTCACAGCTGCTGGCCAAGCACAAAGTCCAAGTGAGACGAGGTATAGCGGGTGCTCACCGTAGCCAAGCCGTAGTTGAGAGATTCAATCGCACCCTAGCCGAACGCCTGTTCTCGCACCAATACTCGCAGGATTTAATGGATCCCGGAAACAGAAACACGGAATGGGTCGTACGCTTACCGCGAGTGGTGGATGCCATCAACAACGAAGTCACCAGACTCGTGGGCAAGAGACCCGTCAAAGCCATCAAAATGAAATCTGTCGAATCGTCGTCGGCAGCAGCACGTCGCGATAAAACAGAGAAAACATTACCGGACCGGGTCAGCGTTAGGTACTTGTACCAGCCGGGAGAATACAAGGGAGACAGCAGAAAACGCGCCACCGATCCGATATGGTCCATGAAAACGTACAACGTAGACCTTGTCGACATCAAAGATGGCGAACCGAACTTGTACTACTTGAAAGACGGACCGCCGAGAGCATTCGTCAGAGAGGAGTTGATGATCGTACCTCACGACACAGTCCCTTACACATCACCGACTCATTTAAGTGACAAATGTCGAACGTGTCTGATATTACAAATATATCATGTATATCACGTATCCCTCGAGACAAGCTGGTACTAACGACATGTCTGATGAGGGCAAGCGTTTGCATGTCCCTCCCAGGAGCTTCTCGATTCCCAATCAAATCTCGACGCGCTCTCCATCACCAACACAATTTCTATCTTCCTGGGGGTGAGATATATTTCTCGTGTACTGGCAGGCTGTTTCTCTGGAGGCCAGCAGTCAGATATGTGGACTACTACTGCTGCAGTTGGCATATCCTACTCTTGATAATTAAGCAGTGGCAATAGATGTATACGTTACACAGGTTATACTTGAATTGTTACAGTATTACAGTCACTTTGGATGTTGAGTCAACGAGCCAGAAGCAGAAATGATTCCCTTACTATCGCTTATAACACTTATGACTTAGTGATGTCGTAACAGGTTACGACTGAGTAGTAAATCAGAAATATCACACAATTTCAATGAATTAAATGTGTCAGCTCGTATGTAAAATTTAATCGTTTTGACCAGGCCAATATAGCTTTGCCTAATCCGTGTTTATAACTGGAAGAATGGGATCCCTATCGTTGTGCTGTATCTGAAATTTGCTCTTAAAAGGTATTTTGAGACTCCGGAGAGATAGAGAGCATTATCGAAAGGGAGCACAAGGTATGGGTAATTTCCTGTGAGGAATCAATTATGTTACGTTTCATTCTTTACTTGGACATACACATAAATGTAACAGAACGTTTTCAAGATGCGGATGGCAAACAGAAGGAATATTTGTGAAAAATGTTCTTCTCATTGGGATCCTCTTTACAGTGAAATTCCTTTTTGGGATGAAGAAATCATGGGTTTTGAACAAGCAGATGAAACAACATTTAGTCGTCCAAAGTTTGAATGTAAGAGGCTGGACTGAAAGGTCAGCCACGTGTGCCGCTAACATGGTGACCAAGTTGTTAAGTTGCTTGGCTGACTATTGGCCATTAAAAGCAACACGTTGCCCTAAATGAAGCGGTTTTCACATCCACTGAGTTACCCAAGTTAAAAGGAGGCCAAGTGAGGCCACCTCATCTGTTCCATATTTAGATAAAGATTCAAAGTGACAAAAATCTCCATTAGATTGTATGGAGGTTTGACGGATAATTTCAAACGTTCCAATAATTAACTTGCCTTTATATCGAGCAATATTTCCACCGCCTCGGTCTTACGTTTCACATTTTTGGGGTACACTCAAGCACAGTCCTTTGACCAAGATTTCAAAGACCGTCATAAAATTCTTGGCCATAATTTGCTTGATCAAGGTTACAACACTGCAGGCATCAGTAAACCTGGACATGAAGAGGGCATTTCCTAATGTGGCTCTTCCATATTCTTGTACCGTATTTCCAGTAACAGTTTCAGGTGAATCGCCTTTGCATATTTTATGATAGTGTCCACCAACAGGAAGCTCACCTTTTAGCCAACATCTGTATTAGACAGTGATTTGTAAGCAGATGCTCATGATATGTATACACCGTTCAATTGACTCTTCGTTTCGCATAGATTTCCTATGGATGTGGAAAGGGGTTTTATTTCTAAATGTTTTGTACATTTGGAACATAGCTCAAACAATGAACTGATATATAAGGCTGCACACTGCACATTGTGCCGTTATTCAGGACTGATCATTAGCTCCCAGCTCTTTCAAACACTGCGTTATACTTACTCTTGAGCAAATCTTCGGTCTTTGTTCCAAACGCTTTTCACTTGTTTATTTTAGGTTTACTTGTGTGAAGCTTCTGCTTCTGTGGACGAAAGGTTTGGCATGATAATCGACGAATGGTAAAACTTTCTGTGCAGAAGTTTCATTGTTTGAACAACCAAGTGTGTCTATAAGCCTATTCAATGTATCAATGTTTTGATGGCTCTGCGTCTAAGAGGAATGATGTATTCAAAAGACGTGGTAATCAATTTATCGCCAGACTGGCTCGTTGTAAAAGCGATTAAAGTGTAACAGTGGCATGGCGCTTCACATTTCATCTTCTGTGATAAATTTTCATTTGGCATGATCAGCACAATGATTAGTTTTTAAAAGAATCTTATCAATCTTCAAAATACCAGACTCATTTCTTCGTCCTTCTTAATACACGATATTAATACCGATATGCCTTTGTGTGCTAAAAGTTATCTTCTTTTGAGCTTTTCCTCAAATTGTTTTGATTAGTACGTCTGTTCGTGAATAATCGACGTACGAATGCCATCAGTAATATGGTGTTGGTGATCTATATGAATCGTAATCGCAAGGGTTGCGTTGTATGGGTTTTTCAGCATTCGCTTCACGGATGCTCGTTATTGAAGAAACAACTGGAGTTGTGAATGAATGCTGTGTTTGAAGATATGTGATCAAAAATTCTTTGTACTGATCATAAGTGCTTATTTCCATCGCACTGGCTGTTAGAGTAACAAATCTCTGTATTGTATACACTTCCGCTGGATCACATATAATGATAAATAGGTTTACGATGGCATTAGAGTTACGCATCACCAAATAGATATGTACACATTCCCCTTGAAGTACCATGTGAAATGATACCCATATGTCACAGGGATGATCCCCACCCTGGTCTTTGCAGGAGGGATTCTTGATTGATTTCTCTGTTGATGTACAACAGATGTGATAGCATCCATTCAGTAGCATTGTAAGGTCACCGGAGCACATCCAGTAGGTTGAACGATATATATAAGAGGACTATGCCTGTCCTTCGATCGTAGACTGAAATAGACGTTGACGACGTCAGACTGTGAGTCCCCAGACTGTCCTCAGAATCAGGAGCACAACGTTGTTGTATGATAGGTAAAGACTGATTACCTAAGATTGAATACATTTAGCCTTACAGTTATGTGTTTATGCAAAAGTGTTGAATTGTGGTTTGGAATTGTCATTAACAACGTATCCTTGAGATTATGTTCTAGTAAATGGATTGGGACGACAGATTGCATAACGTTTGCGTGGATCGATGCTAATCAAATTTGTTTGATTCAGACACGAATATTTACAGACCAGGGCCTCCTTTCACAACGCAATAAGGTGATCGTAAGTCACTAAGGTAACCTTAGTGCAGTGTTAAGAATGGGAGTTAATAATATATAGTAAAGGTTGCTTCGTGAAAGGAGCCCTATATCAAACCGATCGTAGCGCTACGACTGTTGTAATCTATGTTAAAGTATGGGAGTTACGATCATCGGTGCTACGACCGTTTTCTGATGGAACCGGGCCCAGTGTCATATAGCTGGGATATCACTGGGTTTAAGTCGAAACAAGTTAGTCGTGTTATACACTGTTCATGCCTTCTCTATTGTGTGTAGAGATTGTAATATATATTCGCTTCATGTTCTTCGGCGAATGGCTATTTGATTCTGTTGCTGTTGTTGGTATATTATCATGTTTACTCTACAGTGTATGGTGATATGCCTACTGTGTGTATCCACATGTCTGTCTGGTATGTTCATGTCTCTACTGTGTATGGTGATATGCTTACTGTGTGTATCCACATGTCTGTTTTGTACGTTCACGGCCCTGCTGTGTATGGTGATATGCCTACTGTGTGTATCCACATGTCTGTTTTGTACGTTCACGGCCCTGCTGTGTATGGTGATATGCCTACTGTGTGTATCCACATGTCTGTTTTGTACGTTCACGGCCCTGCTGTGTATGATATGCTGTGTGTATCCACATGTCTGTTTTGTACGTTCACGGCCCTGCTGTGTATGGCGATATGCCTACTGTGTGTATCCACATGTCTGTTTTTTTGTACGTTCACGGCCCTGCTGTGTATGGTGATATGCCTACTGTGTGTATCCACATGTCTGTTTTGTACGTTCACGGCCCTGCTGTGTATGGTGATATGCCTACTGTGTGTATCCACATGTCTGTTTTGTACGTTCACGGCCCTGCTGTGTATGGCGATATGCCTACTGTGTGTATCCACATGTCTGTTTTTTTGTACGTTCACGGCCCTGCTGTGTATGGCGATATGCCTACTGTGTGTATCCACATGTCTGTTTTGTACGTTGTACGTTCGATATGCCCCTGCTGTGTGTGGCGATATGTGCCTACTGTGTGTATCCACATGTCTGTTTTGTACGTTCACGGCCCTGCTGTGTATGGCGATATGCCTACTGTGTGTATCCATGTTCCACATGTCTGTTTGGCATGTACATGTTCAATGGCGAAATGCCTGCTGTGTGGGCCACATGGCGATATGCCTACTGTGTATGGCGATATGTGTATCCCATGTCTGTACCGTGTATGGTGATATCTGCTGTGTACGTTCACGGCATGTCCTGCTGTGTATGGCGATACGCCTACTGTGTGTATCCACATGTCTGTTTTGTACGTTCACGGCCCTGCTGTGTATGGTGATATGCCTACTGTGTGTGGCCACATGTCTGTTTGGTATGTTCATGTCTCTACTGTGTATGGCCACATGTCTGTTTGGTATGTTCATGTCTCTACTGTGTATGGCCACATGTCTGTTTGGTATGTTCATGTCTCTGCTGTGTATGGCGATATGCCTACTGTTAATGACCATCACTATTGAGTACAGGTGGATACTATCATGTTGTTTGTGCCCATGTGTACATGTGTGTGCTGATTACCAGATGCATCACTGTCTATTAAGATGGATCGCTATTTATTAAGGTTTCCGAGAACTATTCGAAACAGATCCTTGTGATGTGTATTTTCTACAGATGCTTATGACAGAATTGCAACGTATTTAATGAGGCAATATATACAAAACGTCTACTGAAAGGTAATACAATTTCCCCTCACGAAGAATTGCCAGACATGTTTTATCGCAGACAGGATACTGATTACACAGACGCTTCAGGAGCCACTGCAGCAGTTTTCTCATCTAGATGAGTCTTAATGGTGGACGTAATTCAGTTCGCTTATCACAAGCACCATCAACTCCCTTGTCAATGTGATGTATTGCTCATATGCAGGCTAGGGATTCGGAATCTCACGAGGCCGTCATTTCATCATGTTAGTTTCTTTTGCTACAGCGCGCATGTATAGCAATTAATCATTAAAATTATACAGAGGCCATTAAACAGCTAACATTTGACTTCAAGTGTTTCCCCTTTTTAGCAAACCTTATCAGACATCAAATTGAAACATTAAGATAATGGGGCAGGAAATATAGATCTCTATAACGAAGGAAAGATTGTAGAGAAGATGCCCACAGTAACTACAATGTGGCACACCTTTCAGTCAATTCACGATCATGATGTCACACGTTGAGTGAACAGAATATGGACTAGTATCTTCAAGTTTGGTACAACGTATCTATTACCGCTCATTCCATACAGTTTATTTCCTCTGTGGCTGCACATCTTTCACACTGTTTGGGGCATCAGCAAGCATTATTTGAGCGATGTCATTGATGGCCTGTGCAAACGTAAGTGCGGAATCAAAAGTTAAAATGTAGAAGGTTGCACGGGTAAATATAGTCCATGACAATGTTTCAGTGTTGTTTATGTACATTACTAACACTGTAAAGTAAGACTCCGATCATGATTATCGGTGATTCAGCAAAACATCTTTTGTATTTACAGTGTGCAAAATGCCGCATGTGTTGTTCAGATGGGCTTATGTAATAATAGTGTGAAGTGTCTGGCAGGTATTGGATAGTATTATGATGGTCTTTTTAGACACATAATGTATGGATTATTTCGAATATCTTTACATATTTGTGACCGTCCAGGTGTTCTGCCTTGTGGTCTTGAGCATAGAATGTCTGAATGCTTTGATCCCAAGCTGCGTGCATACCACAATACGGTAAATGATGGTACCTCTTGTTACCCTGACAGGCGCTTAGCATGAAGAAGATGATCAACGACTGGACGACCCGGATCCACTGTACTGTGTCTGAGTTGGGTATCAATATTAAACTGTGGCATGGTATATGAGGGTATCAATGTTGAAATGATGTGTGGTTTATGAGTGTGATAGCATGATAAAACTGGCATTAATCCCTAAATGCGCAAGCAACACACGGGCACCCATACGTTACATATGTCCAATAAGCCCTTACAGGACGATGCCTAATTCCGTCTCACTAACTAACACATTTTCAGATAATTCAATGCGAAATAAGCAATTATAGACATGTAATTATAGACATTTGCCTCTGATCGTCCTTTAGCCACTAATGATCCCATATATATGGACGGCATATATGATGGAACTTCGCAGTACTGACTGTAGGAATCAAGGTATTTGCACATTATTGGTATATTAAATTTCTAACAGTTCAATTTCAATACGGTATTTTCGGAAAGAAAAAACCGTTTCATCATTCTTACCCAAACAACAATCTTGACATAATGCACAGCGAACAAAGTCATGTGTTTTCTCGTTTCATCTTTGTGTAGTCATGATCAGAAATACGTTCTTTTGTCAATACTGAAAATTCATGCATGTCGTATTTATGCCAAAATTGATCCTTTGATAGCATGTCCTTGTCATCGTCTTCATTCTTTACCCACTTAATTTTGAAGGAAATACATCTTTGAAGGCTTGTACACAGAGTAGACAGGATACAGAGGGCTCGAGTGAACAAAGCATCATTGATTACCAAGACGCGTTACTTGTATGGTGGAAAATGAAAATGGAATAATGTAATGCCATCGATATTGACTTTTTCATATCACCAAATTTCCTGTTCAGCTATGTCAACGCTTCCAAAGGACGATTCATGTTTAAATGATTTTTTGTGTGTTCTCCTTAATATAATTCTGTACAATTTATGGACAGGCTTGAAACTATGCAAGTGGCATGTACCTTGTTAAACGGAAGGTGTGATTGACAATTTAGTTGAAACATTGACACCGGTATACATAACTGCTCACTATAACTGAAGTCGAAAAGGAAAACTTGTCACATCGTCTTGTTCATCTAATTGACGGACTCTGCGGTGGAGATTTTCCATCGTATCACCTAGCCGTATTCAAGCATGTTTGCCCATAGTAAACATTTACACAGTTCTAATTATCGTCTCAGTTCATATATGAGGTTTCCTACTCAGTTTCACTGAAACAGAAATATGTTGGCATCCCAGCCAAGAGGGTCAAAATGTGTCAGACATACAATGATCAAACATGTTCTTGTACAAATTGGTTTGTTTGAACAACAAAGCAATCCTTTAGCCCATTGTATGTTATCAATACATTGATGTTTCCACGTCTGAGAGAGATCCTGTTTTCGAGAAGACGTATTGATCAATTAGTTTTCAGACTTGTATATTAGACACTAAGTAACATGTTCAGATACTGTGCTTGTGATTTTCAATCAATACTTAGCCGTAATGAAGCATGTTTCCAAATAGGACGCATTTACATACTTCTAATATTCATCTTAATTCAGGTATGAGTTTTTATTCAATTTCACTGAAACAAAAAAATGCTTCAGACACACAATGATCAATCATTTTCTTGTCCAATTTGGAACAACAAAGCAATTCTTTAGCTTATTGTACGAGTATGTTAGAATAGAATAGAATAGAATAGAATAGAATAGAATAGAATAGAATAGAATAGAATAGAATAGAATAGAATAGAATAGAATGACTTTCCAGGAATTTGTATTACATCAGCAGAACTACTGACACATCAGAGAGATACAAAACATATTTACATAAATTCATTGGTTTAGGTATCTTCACATTTGTTTAAGAGAGATATGGTACTTGGAATAAAGGATGTACGGGCTCTCTTAGTTTTCACAATTGAAACGTTGTAGCGGCGGCCTGATTGTGAGTTGGGTCAGATATAATTTTGACAGCTTGATTCACGATTACAATTATCAATACATTGATGTTTTCTTTGTTAAATTCTGTTTTCGAGAAGACGTATTTATCAACTATTCTTCAGACATGTATATTAGACATTAAGTAACATGATCAGTTTGAGGCAATGTACAGTATGTTTCCAATCGATGATCGGGCACGGCTTGTTTAACATGACATCTCTGTAACACACCAAAGCAATTCATTAACTGGACGATACGGTACTATGTCTGTTAGTAATTTTTTAGCAATTTATCTAATTCATCAAAATGTGTAATTTATAGAAATATTATTGATAATTGTACACTGCAATATTACCTATGTAAAGCTTTCCCGCACCTCTTTAGGAAATATTTATCTAAATTCCGACTAAGCTCTCATAATTTAGCAATAGAAACTGGCAGATACAGTAATGTTCAAATAACAGAAAGAAAATGTGTTTTTTCTGAAGACGACATTGAAGACGAGTTCCATTTTATATTAGTATGTCCATATTATATTAATTATAGAAAATTATATATAAACCATATTACTTCAGATGTCCATCAATGCATAAACTTATTCAACTTTTAAGTGTCAGAAATGTAAAACAGTTATGTAATTGAGATAAATATTTGTATAAAGCCTGTTGTCTTAGAAATGAAAACGATGCTAAATAATAGGTAATTTTCTGTACATTCTCCATTATAATCAATGTCCAGTCATCCACCCGTACCAACGCTCGTGTTTGTAAGCACTACTGATTGTCTGTAAAGACAAAGGAAAATAAAGAATCTGAATGTGTTAGTAAATGGTACATTCAGATCCACTTAGACGTGCCCACCAGTAGCATCGTATCTCGCTTTGCTGATTTTTTGCTAGTGATTATTTGCGACTGAGGTGTCGTCTGTATTCCGTTACTACGTTTCGGCGTCCGACTCTGAAATGTCCTAAAGGAGACGTTTCTGGAGTGACTTAGTGATTTACGCCGCTTTCAGCAATATTCCAGCAATATCACGGCGAGTGACACCAGAAATGGGCTTCACACATTGTACCTATGTGGGGAATCGAACCCAGGTTTTCAGCGTGACGAGCGAACGCTTAACCAATAGGCTACCCCACCGCCCTCGTTTCTGGAAGTATAGAAATTCAAGCATGTTTTACCAAAGTACACTTTTGCATACCATAATTATCGTCTCAAATCAACGTACATGTATAAGGTTTCTTATTCAATTTTACTGAAACAGAAAAATAATGTTGTCATCTTTGCGGATGGTCAAAATGCTTCAGACATACAATGATCAATCATTTTCTTGTCCAAATTGGTTTGTTTAGCTCATTGTATGCCATTAACCTTCTCTGAGAGAGATCCTGTTTTTGCTAAGACGTATTGATCAATTAGTCTCCAGACTTTAGATTGGAAATTTTGTAACATGTTCAGTTCTGGGCAAGCATGTTATATTTTTCCAATCCACGATGCGTCTTTATTGGACATGACTTCTGTAACATTCATATAAATATGACAACTTTCTGCAGCACTTCAGACCAATATATCTCACCAATTATTTGTGGGTTAGTAACTTGCTGCCAGATCAATTTACCGAGTTGTTTGCTTCCTGAAAGTTCATATCTGGCATCTTGAATTATCCGCTTATACTAAACCTTGAAACAACAGAGAATTAAACAATATGCAAAGTGAGTAACATTGGCAAAATGAAAATAACAGTGAAAGAACCAACCCTTATCCCTTGAATCAGCTATTCTATTTATTCTATAAGTTTCTAAGCCCTGAATGAGCAATAAAAAATAAATCCCACGGCGAGACGAGTAACATGAAAATATCAAGGAATGAACAAAGCCTAAACCAACAAGTATATTAGCATTTGTGTGTGACACCTGCTTGAGATATGAGTGATCCAGGAACAGGTTACTCTCCGTTGGTGTCCATGGACTAACATTGATATATAAGTGATACCTTTAGTGGAATATCAGTCGTGTGAATTAGATTAACCCAGAAATTCGGGTTCACTTATATATGTTATTGAGACCTTTCGACTGGCAATATGACCCGCTGTTATTGATTGGTTTTGTGCTGCCAATCACAAGTTTTAATGACCCACAATTAGTACGCAAGTATCGAATATAACTGTCGTCAGCTGTAAACGATACTGTGAAAACAGACAGAGTGAGACTTTCGGTTTTGTCCCAACCAAGATAACAATGACAGGCCTAGACGCGCCTGGTAGGTCCTGTTTTCCTCTTCACCTATAAACATTGTCCTTACCGGCATGGATCTGAGTAACTAGTTCATGGCATGTCTGTACCATTTCATTTCGTGTATAAATGTCACGTTTGGTATCAAGCATTAACGGTATAATAAAAACAACAAAACCCTTACCATATCGATAAGAAATCTCTACTAAAACAAGAGTCGATAGTCCAACTCCGACTATATCACGGAACATGTCTTTATGATTCACTTTCGAAAATAGTAATGATACCGGTTGTTGGCGGTAAAGTGAGCGTATCCTGCGGCCCCGTCATAAACATGCAAATGCCCATAAATATGTCACCTAAAACCCTTCGAGAATATATGCTACTTTTTTACATTCTTTGAAAGTCGTGTCCCTGATGTTACCCAGCATCTGTCAACAGGCTAATAGTATGGTTAATGTCTGAGACAGGGAGGTAGTTGTACATTTGCAGGACCCACCAATATCTCTCTCTTTGTACGGATGTTTTAAGGATCTCGGAATCCAGTACAAAAGAGCAATGGTGACGTCTTCAGGTGTGTAATCGAGGTAAAAGATGAAAGTTAGGGGGTGGGGTGTAGCAGTTTTACTGTGTTTGACTACTAAGCTAGTGAACAATCGAGAGCATATAATTACCATCCTCCGGCAAATCGACTTGGTTCATATTAATATAAGTGAAGAATTTTCATGATTTACCATGTGGACATGCAATTATGGGCCGGTGGCCTGCACTTCTGTAATCAAGAATTGAATTGAACATGACCATTGAGATGTTCATACAGTAGGAATCAGAAATCCTCCCAGTCACTACCCTATAAGCCTCATGTATGATATATTTTACTTATCTCCAAGATATCACGTCCCACTACCACGCTCGCAGCCACAAAACAATGGCTAGGTTTTAACAAAATGCTCTAATCTCTCATGCAGAACTATACATGTCACGTGCACGTTTCGGTTAGGCACGAATAACAATAAAGATAAATACTGTTCACAGGAACATGAGTGTGTATAACGCTCTGCTCTCATCTCACTACTCACACGTGTTGTTGGGGACGGTGTCTACGCCGTCGACACAGAGGTAGGCGACGTAGCAGAGGTACAGGGCTCTTGTTCTCGAAACGTTTATAGCCCTGAGAATTCATAACTTTGATCGTAGCCAATGTGTTAAGAATGGGTTTAAGAAGTTCGTAGGGCTAGGAACGTTTCGAGAACGACACATATGGCCGGGGCTCTTCGTAGGAACACATTGCCTTGGCTTTGGCAAAATGAAACGACATCTAATACTGATTAGAAGGTCGTATTGGGTGATAATAACAGGCAAGCGACTGTTAAAACACAACACGGAGAAAATAATAAATGTTTTTAAACATAAAATGCGGACGGAGGAGAGTAATTGATATATCGATGTGCGCTGAGGGAACACATCAACGACAGGAAGAGACTGTATGAACGAAGACTGCTTTGAACCATAGTATCCATACTTAACCGATTAAATCTATCGATGGGGCTCATCTGGCAGGCAATAAATCTCCTTACATCGTCATCATGTTTGTATCATGTTCCAGTGAGACATGATCAACAGCCCCGCCACTTATGTGTCATGTCAGTTTTATCTTCTAGCCGGAGGGATCTGAAGATTTGTTCGCGTGATTTATTCTTTAGAAAACACACTGACAAGTAATGAGATATCATTTCTTCAGTATTAAACAATTTCGTTCTTTCCACTTCATCAGGTCCATTTCCCACGAAGATGATCGGAAATGAAGCTCAGGATAGATTATGACAAAATATAATAACTGGCCACAAACTAGTCACGCATAAAACTAAGGACAATGATATATCGAGAAAGCTGATATCCGAATATCAGTAACACAAAGACTGGAATCTGGAGACCGCTTTCTACGTACACACCACAGGGTATAAAAACATTTTAAAGTATGCTCTAGGCTTCAATAAAATCAGTCCAAGTGCTATCACGTCTCTGGATTGTCCATTACCTAAAGCTTGGAGCAAAATTCGATTGTGTACAGATCAGTGCCGGTAGAACAGAACATGCTTATTCTTTTGTAAACATTTCCCAACTATCCTATGTTTGCTTGTCTGAATGATCCATTCACATGATTGTCACCGTTATTTAGCCTTTAACGCTAAGTGGAATCATTGTCAGCAAATAAGGGAGACTTAGTGTTCGCTGGTGTTGACTTACACACATCCTGCTCAACGTGTTTTAAAGTTTGAACTACTATACTAAACAATATACCATTGGTTATTCTTAAGGCAGTAATACGCAAGGAGCTTCCGTTTAATCGATTTCGACCAATAAAATAATTCGAGTGATAACTATTCTGAGATCATACTTTGGGTATATAATTGTGTCATATTGGTATCCACAGATTGAGAAGTCGATGGTGATGCTTAAAATCAAACGTTAGGGGCATGGTGTGCGAAGAAATAGCAAATGTTCCTATTTTGCCCAGTCGTCGGAGCAGCGATTATAATTCAGATTGATGACTGATGCTGAAGAAGTGTAGACAATTTGTTTCTTTAATCCAGTAAAACACCTCTGAGTTCGGCCTTACAGTATGGTTTATTGAAATTGTGTTACTCTAATGGATGAGGTAGCCTTGGTTGACAGGGTGGCGTTTTGACC